CGCGAGACGAGCCGGGCCGTGGCGGGTGCACGTGTGCTGATGGGGAGACCGGTTGGCAGTGCCGGGGGACGGATGCGGGAGGCAGCTTTGGGGCTTCGGAAGCTCGCACTGCGCTGGGGTCGCCAGTTCAGGGCGCGAGGGCTGCAGTGACCCTGCCAGAGGGCCCACGACCTGCCCCTTCCCAGCCTCGGCGGCAGCCGGAATCCACTGCAGTTGAGGCAGATAGATCTCACCCCTGTATGCAGACACGACTCTCCCTCCTGCCGGTGCCTGGGTCCTTTCTTTAAAAAAATAAAAATCTTGATTAAAAACACACACACACACACAAAGCCCCGGTGGTGGTGGGGGCGGCGAGGAGAGAATTGTTCGAGTCCTGTAATCTTTACACTGCCTGCTTCTGGTGATCACATGACAAATCGCTTGATGAGAGGCAGGTGTAGATGCCTACTGAAGCTTGAGTTTCAAGGCCTATCCTTGGTCTGAGCCCTTCCAAAGCTGGTATCTAATTTTGCCATTATAACCGTATTATTTTTCCCCAAAATGGCCCTCCTTCAATTGTATAAGCTCCAGGTCTCACCAGACTGGGTCCGCCCTTGCATTTTTGAGGCATGAAAAGCCCACAGAGCCAACCCCAATCCCTCCATGACGGATAAAGGCAACTTTTGCTGGTGGCCCTCTTTCCTATACAAGCTTTTGTTTTCCTCCATGTTTTCCCAGTCTTTCTCCTTCCTCCTCTGATCTCTCCGGTCTTCTGTCTTGTTTCATCCACTTCAGCTCTTACCTTCCTATTACCTGCCTTCTGCACCCTCCTCTTCCTCCCCTGGGCCCAAGGGCTAGGCCTGTATCCAGCGGTGGGGGCCAGATGGGAATAAGTGCCTGTGTGAGGTTCTGGATTTATGCAGGCCTTCTTCTGTCCTTGGTCACTCTAGTGTTTACTTACACACACACACACACACACACACACACTCACACACACTCACACACACTCACACTCATCCACAGGCCCACATTAGCAGAATAACCAGAAATAAACATAAACGTAGGCTTTCCCACTCGCCCTTGCTTTTGGGGTCCACTGCTGGAGTGTTTGTCCATGTGTATTAACCGCCTCTGACAGCATGTATCCAACAGTGTGACCCCAGGGGGAGTAGAAAACATGTTGCACTTCTCTTGCTTAGCCTCTGCACTGCGGCAGAAGGATCCGGACTCCCACCCTTTGTGGCCCTAGAAGGATTGGAGGGTGGGGTTAGGAGTGGAGGTGGTGTGTGAGGGGGAGGAGTGTAGAGAGGAGGGTGGAGACGGTTTGGCCCTGCCCGCCTTTCTCATTATGCCTTTTGGACACCCACCCTGGCCCTGCTTCTCCCTCCCTAAGACTTCCTGACAGCTGCTGCTTTACATGGCCTGTAGAAAAGTGTGTGGGCCTAGCGGGTTGCTACAATAGGTGAGGCATGACTGAGGAGGGAAAAACTGTGTGCAGTGGCTTGAGTCCCTGGAAGCCTTGTGCAGTGTGTCCAGATGTCCTGAACAATTTCAGAGTTCACTCGTGCTGGCCTCACCCCATTCTTTTTCCCTGCTTAGTAGTGAGACATTCCAGAACTAAGCACTGCCCCCCCAAGAAAGCATCTTAATGTGAGCTTGGAGAAGTGAGCCCCCAAGATTTGTAAACTGCTGGAACTGCAGGTGCCCCAGGGGCCAGTTATTTCAAGCCCCTTCTTTGACAAATGGGGCACAGGCTCAGAGAGGGCAAGTGTCTTGCCTGGGGTTGTCCAGCTGGTTATTAGTAAAGTCTAGACCAGGCTTCAGGGTTTTAGATGACCTGTCCCTTACCACATCTGCCTTTTAGTCGCCTCTCTTGTTTCACCTCCAAAGCTCCCTCCTGTCCATCTCCCTTGCCCCCCGGTGCTGAAGGATGCGTCCCCCACCCCGCATCGAGCTTACCAGGCTTTGGCCAAAAGTGAGGCAGGGGCTCTGGCTGGCTTTGACATTGCAGCTCTCTTTCTGGCCTTGGCACACACTCGGAAGCAAGGAAGAGCTGAGGAAGGGTGGGGGGTTGTGTGGGATTTGGGGGGAGGGGACTGGTTAGGAACGTGCTTGCTGGGGACTCTGGGCATGATGTGGGGTGGGGAGAGGGGAACTGCTTGCCAAATGAACTCTTGGTGAGGGGATGGATGGAGGGACCTGCTTGCAATCCACGAAAGGTTTAAGGTGTGGGGAGAGCTGCCTGCTGGTGTGCCCGGACTGTAGGATTTGGGAAAGAGGGGTTCAGGGGTCGGTTTAAGACGGCCTTTCAGATCAGAACGGGGCCTGCTTGCTGAAAAACTCTCAGTGCAGGGTTGAGGGGTGAGGCCCTGCTTGTAGATGCATCCTTTCGGGAGAACTGGGATCCTGCTTGCCGATGCATCCTCGGTGGAAAAGTGGGGGCCTGCTTGCTGGGAAGGGCCCTCAGCGGGGAGGGGGGAGGGGCCTGCTTGTGGAACCACCGGGCTGTTATCCGACCATGTGCTTTTCCGCCCCCAGGAGGACGAGCAAGGGGATGAGAATAAGGCCCGAGGGAACTGGTCCAGCAAACTGGACTTCATCCTGTCCATGGTGGGGTACGCAGTGGGGCTGGGCAATGTCTGGAGGTTTCCCTACCTGGCCTTCCAGAACGGGGGAGGTATGGCTCTTCGGCTCTTTCCGCCTGCGGCGGGGCGGGGCGGGCCCCTGAGGGTGGGTGGGAGCCCGGAGCCCGCGGGCGGG